ACAGATGATCTCGGTTATAATTTCTAACCCCGTGCTGTGGAATAGCAACAGCACTTGCAGTTACTTTGGGAGCAAATGCAAGTGGGTTGCGAGATTCAATCAGTTTGCGATTCTCTAAAACAATATTCTCATAATTAGGCTTGTTGAAGCATTCTTGACATGAACAAGGCTCAATACAGTAGAGACCAGCAGCAAAACAATCGCAATAACTGCATGGAGAACATGGGAGGTCAAAGTAAGAGATGAATGGAAAGAACCAATCCATAGTGTACAAGGCAAACAGCGAAAATTGAAAATTATAATTGATTACCAAACGCTAAACTGCTAATTAGTCGATATACTGCATACTTATACTCATAGTTTTACAGATAAGGTATGCACAAAACTCACAGTTTCAAACATTTTGATCTCTTACAGTTACAGCGCTTGCAAGCCAAACTTTCTCCAACAGGCTGCAACCTAAGCCTGCAAGTTATCAAACGTTAAAACAACGGCATTCAGATGGATAGAAGTAAAGAATTCGAATAGTCATTAAAATTTATGGCGCATGCCTTTTCTTCTCAGGACTATTACAGTCATGTTCTTGACCAACTGCTGCACATACTTGGGGAGGAGTTTCTGCAACCTGAGCTTTATTTTTACATGATTCATCACGAGAAACCTCACTGGGAGTCAAAGAAGTACTAGATATCTTGGAGTTTGGAAAATTTGCCGCTCGACTCTCAGAAATATCATGCTTGACAACCTTACTTAAGTTACTTTCACTAGAAGTTGCAAGAGCATTCAAGTGCAAACCAATGCCAGGTAACCTTGAAGATGAATAATCACAACCTTTTATAGTTTGAACCAACTGCTTTTCGACAGAGGCGACTTCACAACTGGACTGCGGTAAGGCTAAAGAACTGCCACTAGCATCTATTGATTTCCTTTGGTGAGCTGCTGGCCTTTCAAAATCCAAACAGCGCCTGCGTATTGCGTATGACTGAGAACTAGGCTGCACAAGGTCAAACAAAATTGTTGCATTACCATCAAATCGAAAAAGTATGAAACTCAGTTCAACAAAAAATATTGTCCAAACCAGTATATTACCTTGCAGCTAGAATGTATACAATTCAGCGACTTTTTATCCACAATACCACTTGGATCATTAACATTTAACTTATCCAGTAAAGTTCCAGAAAGTATCGCCGGAGCTTGATCTGTTTCCTTAGTTCCCCGAATACCTTCTGGTTGATTACTGACCTTTCCCAATTCGCTTTCTTCACTAGAATCGATAGGACCAGCAGATTCCTCTACTTCAATATCATTGTCTCGTAGGATGTTTGACATAAAAGAGATTTCTCCAGGATCTACTGGTTTAGGATCGTGCCCCGCACAACTCTCTTTAATGGTTGTCAAATCGAATTTTAACTGATCATCAGAAATCAACCTCACCAAATCGCATGCGGCTGCATCTGTCTTCTGCTCAACTCTCCGAATTCTGCGTAAATGTGTTTCCCTCTCGAAAAACGAGTGCCTTCCTTTCGAATGATGTACATCATTTCTATGTGGGCTACCAGAACTATACTTCAAGGTATTTAGAAACTCAACCGCTGGTTCCAAATTCTCAGTTGGTACTGCACTAGCTACTTCTACATCTGAAGAACTTCCGGATGCAAAGAATTCCGGTTGGTCAGTACCTAAATAGGCTTGCTCAACAGAAACCGGAACTCCATCACTTTTACTGTTTCGGTTTCCACTCTGGAAGGACTCGGGTTTCGGTGAATCAGAGAAGTGCTGCCTGACAACATGAACAAAACATCAAACACTAGTACAAATAAAAGTAGTAAAATCAGCAACGCAGGAAGAAAAGATATGGTTAAAACCTTACCTTCTAAGTAAGAACCGTGTTTCTGGGACGGAAAGATTCTGCGGCGAAGCGAAAATAGAAGGAAGAGATGCAAAAGCTAGGGAGTTGAAAGTGTGATGATCGTTTCCTGCGGAGTTCACCGGCTCAATTGGGGAAAGATTGCTAATGTAGTTGAACACAGGGGAATCCTGCAGAAATCATCAAACAGGAATCATTTCGCACTCTACGGCCTAGAAAACGCAACCGATGTCGAAAGATTGAGAAGGAATCGAAGGGTTTTGCAGGAATCATACAAAATTCTGAAAAATTACAACAAACCCATTTCTGCAAAGTGGAAAATGAACAGTGGGAAGTGACAAAAATTAAAACTTGAATCGAATCCAGATTTTAAAATTTTAAACCAAAATTTTAAATTTGCAAATAAATTGAAGAACATGAAAAAACTAAACCCAGCAGAACCCATTTGAACCAGGAAAAAAAAATTAATTCATAAAAAAAATGAAAAAAAAAAACCTCGTATTTAGCAGGAAGAGGAGTGGTGGGGTTGATCTGATTCTTCAGCGGAGTGTCCATGGTCGGAGATGAAGCTCCGCCGCATCAAATCTCTCTCTCTCTCTCTAGAATTTTAGAGAGAGAAACAGAGTGAAAATAATAGAAGGGGGAGGACTGGGGCGGCAAGGCGGGAAAGGGAGGGATTTTCGTTTTTTTGTTTTTTCCTTTTGTCCCTGTGGGTGTGGGGACCGCCCTTGACCTTGTGTTCGTGAGGTTTCGGTTCAGATAAACGGCATGTCGTTAAACTCCCATTTGCAAATGAGTATAGGACCCCAAAAGAAAAAAAGCCCAATATGACCACGGCCCACAATAGTTTTTTTTTTTTTTTTTTTAACAAAGGATACAGCGTTAGTGGTTAAATAGTTAGTTGTTAGGAGAGAGGGGAATCGATAACGAGATAGAGTCAAGTCAAGGAGTTAAATTGTTAGTCGTTAAATCCCTAATAGTTAAATTGTTAATAGTTGATGCTCCGGTTAGAATATGTGACTATAAAAGGGAGGCTCAGGGCAAAAAAGGTAGAGAAAGACTTATAAAGAATTTGAAAAAGACTATAAGAGAATATATAGAGTACTTGGAGCTATCGGAAGACTTGATGCAAAATTGAGCGTAATGACATTCTAAGATTCATACAGCCAACTCCACTTCATGTACGACTTGATTGTTGTTGTTGTTGTAGTTAATTGGTAGTGATTAGTGGAGTTTTGTATTATTCCTCAATTGAATTGAAGTCAAGTTAAGCAATTCACACAGCCATTTGTTAATTTTTTACAATTAATCTTCTTCAATTCGTTTATCAGTCCATGGAAATACACATGCGTTTTTTGAGATTATATATTTTTCGAATTTTTTTAAGTTATATATTTGGGACATTATCAATAATTGAATGGGTGTGAAAATTGGGTGGCAAATAGTTCGAAAGCTGTAGCTTTCATAATCCTGCAACAGAATACTCTGGCAGTTCGGCAGAAAGACAATCATCTCTTTCCCCTTCGTTTTCTTATTTTCCATATCTTTTTCTATCTTAATTAAGGATTGTGAGTTCGAGAAAATTCCATCGTGCTCCAAAATATTATGTTATTTTTTGAGTTTCATGTAAGTTGTTTGTGTAAGAAGATTTTCGACCGGAACAAAGTTCACACTCAGACTCGGTTTTTCGGGCTGGGGCAAGAAACCCTAAATCAAACCAATCTTTAAGGTTTGCTTTGAGTTTGCTTTAATAAGAAGTATTTTATAAGAATTTTTGTTAGAAGCAGAAACGATTTTATGAGAAAAACTTATAAGTACTTTTAGAATTCAAAAAAAGCTTAGAGCTGACAAGCCCAAATTGGACCAGCCTTAAAGTCGGTTTCGGCCTACTTTTATAAAAGCATTTAAGCTCATAAGTACTTTTATTAGAAAGATTTTAAAAAAAAAAAATTGTTACCCGTGAACACATTTACAATCACATCAAAATCTACAAAAAATACGATCCACTTGATCAAGATGCACAACGAAGATTGCATCCATACAACTTTAACACTCGAGAATCACCTTAAGTTATTTTTGTCAAACACTGACATAAACAGTTCTTTGTTTTTTTTTTTTTTTTTTTTTGGAACAAACAATATTATTTGGGAGAGTTGGCCAACCCTCACAATGGACTTGCCATAATAATGTGGTTAAAATTTACCTTTGGCGAGAATTGAACCTAAGACCTCTCACTTATAAGTGAAAAAGAATACCACCAGACCGTAGTACTAAGTAACAACACACATAAACACTTTGAGTTGAATAGATGTGCTGCGTAGCCAAATTGGCTCTAAAAGGTGCCCTTAAAGTTCAAATCTCTTTCTCCGTAGTATAAAACAAAATATGGGTTGATACAAACATTCAAGTATTCAAATTCAATGCACAACGCTTAATTGCAATAGCAACTATAAGTGGACCAACGCATTCCCAACAAACTCTAATTTATTTGTATCTAGTTAGGTACATATACCAAATATTCAAACTTCACCTAATGCACATAAAAGCTCCTATAGAAATCAGTACAAGGAGACCCTCGGGTTAGTTTGGGATTGTTGTGTTGCAAAAAAATTATGTTGTTTTTAGAAGTAGAGGTAGAGCTACTTCTGCTTTCTGTTGTTTTGGATCCATGATTTTTACAAAAAGCACCTTTTTTTTCAATTACCGAACACAATTTTGACCGAAGCTTTTAAAAAAAAAAAAAAATTGCTTTTAAAATAATTTCAACAATGACAAACCATCAATTAGGGCTATTGCATCCATTTAAATCCTTAACCAACACATGTTTTGAATATTTTGACCAATTAGGGGTTGTCACAAGCTAATGTCTGAAGGAACTGAACCTGGCTTGGCTCGGAAGAGCTAAAGAACTCACCCGAGATTTGAAAATTTCTCCCGTAAATAGCTTAACCCTAGCCTAATTCCGGCGCGAACCCTACCACCGCGAAGGCTCAGCCTACGCCAAATTTGTGGCCGGGTTTGTGCCTGTTACAACAAAATCGTAGCTGCAACATTCAACCAGTGAATGCATCCATAAATCAACAGAGAAAATATGAAGTGTAAGGTTCAATAAGCATGAAGTTTGGCAGCTTTCTTCAGCAAAAATAACTCACTATTTGAATGCTATGCAAATCTCAACCAACCATCTTTAAATTTCGAGTTAACACCAAACTACAACTAAGACAGGCTTAAACTTCTGCAAAAATTACTCACAGTGGAAACGCATAGTGGAAGGTATCGAAGTAGCTCGGCTGAAGGGGGAGGGGGTAAAGAGGCGGAAGATGTGATTGTTCCGGGTTTCAGCTAGAGCATATACAGTTGAATTTTGAGCCCTGATGCAAAGGAAGCACAATGTGTTGCAAGATGAGCAGGCTCCATAGGGTAAACAGGTACATCTACAGAGAAATCAAGCACAAAATAATTGTTGAACTCTCTTCATCACAATGCTCCTTGATACAAGATAATGTGCTGTATCCAACCTCGGGCTATAGAAGATGCTTTTCGAGGCTTCAAGAAAAAGAGCAGCTGCGAATTGTCCCCCTTTTTATCCACAAATTCATGCCTAGCACATACATTATCATTTGACCCTTCACCCGAAACAGGCAAAGTAAGCCAGGAAGTTGTGCAGGGTGCTTAATCCTACCCCTTCACATTCCTTCAGTTATGTACAATTTAACCTTCTATATCCTTTCTTCCACTTGATTGCTAGCAACTGTAAAATTTTCCAGACCAAAGATTCCCATTACTTCTATGTTGACTTATATAGTGAATGTGAGATCTCGGCTCCTTGAACTGTCCCAAGAGAAAAACATTCCTAGCACAAGCACCCAACAGCTATAATCTGGACTTCAACAAGCAAAAGCAGTAGACCTCCGTCAATTGCTTAATCTCACTCAAAAGCTCAATAGCATCAGTTACCTAGTTATACAAACATCATTCAAGTACCATAGTACTTCATGCTTTCAATCTCTTGTAGTCTAGCTACATTTCCATGATGGTCAAGCATCTAAATGCAAGAATACGTAAAATGGAGGGTCTGAACCGTTTCATACTTGTCAAAGTATTCGCACAGCAATACCCACAACACAATCAGCAGTATAAAATGATCCCAAATACAAGTGGAGTTAGGCCAATTCAAAGAAATGTTACAAAAATAAAATCAGATATGGCTACTTCACAAGAATAGGATGTGGCCAAGTCCATTAGCAGTCATTCCGACTTCGGAAAAGAACATCACTATAGCTAGCGCAAACATGATCAAATAATAAGTTCAATGATTTGCTGAGTAAGAGTGCATTAATTTCAATATTTGCACATCGATGATTTTAACATAGAATTCTCAGTAGGCAAAATAAAAAAAAAAATTAAAGAGTGAAATTAAGGGTGTATGGAGCATATACAACCAGTAAAAACAAAACTGTCTGATGTATTTTGATTGCTCAAGCTACTCATGAAGAGAAACCAAAAGAGGTTGAGAAAAAAACAAATGCTCATATAACAAATGATCATATATAATCATCTTTTTTGCAGTAATTCAATCACATAGCTGAGAAAAACATCACTCACTAGAGGTTTTTCTGTTAGCAATCAATGGAGAACATCTGACTTCCTCTATTCATTCTTCCAAGCATACAGAATCAGCGAGAATCCTAGACTTTGTGACTTACTATCCGAGAATCTCTGCGAAAATGACCACTGCAACGCGCTTGGATCAGAGGCTGGTTGACTAGCCCACAACTTCTCTGCTGAGAGGCATGTCTTGAACATAAAAACAGCATTTCCAGGTGATGTACCAAACAGCCAATTGTGAACATCCCAGAAAACTTCAACTGCAAGCCCATCAACCAAGATGGTATGGTTCCCTCGGAACTTCCACCGAAGTCTCTTCACCTGCATCACAGGCTTGCTGTCAACACGCACCAGGAGGCATGGATCATTGACGCCGACAGTGTCACATTCAATTACAAGGTCATGAACTTGACCATTATTGCAAAACTGAGCCTTTGTGGTGAATCCCCTCTTACCAAAAATATGCTCTCTCTTAGCAACGCAAACAGCACTCGAAGGCACAGGGTTGGCACTAGTCTTTTTGAAAGCTTCTTTCCTCATGTCTCCGAGAAGGAGAAGCATTTGCCTGTCCACCACAACCCCGACATAATATCCCTCCAAAGGTTCAGGCCCGGATCCGAATTTTGCCGATGAAAGGTCCCAATATATATCTATTTGACTCGAATAAGCTTCTAAACTCTTGGACCCTCTTCTCTTGGAGAACAACCAGGGTTTAATATCAACCTTACAAAGACACTGGTTTGATGAATCATCTATCCCAACACTAAGGCCTTGACCCATCAAATTCCTACTCCAAGTCACAGTAATCAAGCAAGACCGGCCTCGTAACCGGCATTGATACATACAAGTAACCAAATTCTGGGCACCCCTACTACTATTTGATGATGAAGAATCAGCAACCTGAACCCCATTTTCACCAAAACAAGATGGGAAATCTCTCATTTTAAAACCAAGTACCTCAATTCACTTTTCCAAACTTTCTTTGGGGAATTTTAACAAACGATTGGTGACCTTACACAAAAAACAACACAAAACCCACAGAACCACTCAGAAATTACCAAAAACAAGAGCAAAAAGATAAACAAAACAATAAGAAGAAGCAGAGAAGTTACCTCAAATTGACCAGGGGCAAAAACCCAACTCAGAAATCTTCAAAATCTGATAATCCAGCCTTGATTTGATCTGGGTTGCTGGCTCCTGATGCATTACTGCACAAAATCCATTAATCTAAATTTAAAGAAACCAGCTTTAAAAATGTGGGCTGTAAAATAAATCACAGAGAGAGAGAGAGAAGCAGAAGACAAAAAGCAGACTTGTTTCACTATCAACGGGAAGACCTCCGCCAAAACAAATAACACTATTTATAAATAAAAATTAAATCTTTACCTCAAAGAAACAGAGAGAATATGAAGAAAAAACCGTAAAGCTGCTGCACTCAGAGAGAGGAGGAGAGAGAGAGATAAATGTCAAAAATATATAAAACAAATAACACTAATTATAAATAAAAATTAAATCTTTACCTCAAAGAAACAGAGAGAATATGAAGTAAAAACAGTAAAGCTGCTGCACTCAGAGAGAGGAGAGGAGAGAGAGAGAGAGAGATAGATGTCAAAAATATATATACCTCAAAGACGTTGACAGCTGCTTACTTGTGTAGTCTAATGAAGGTGAAGCAAAAAGAGGGATATATAGCAACTGGGTTTTGCTGGAAAGGTTGGTTTTTGAAAAGATTACAGAACAGAAAGGAAAAAAAAAAGCATCTCTCTCTCTACTCTCTCTCCTCTCTCTCCTCACTCATGATTTCTCTCTCTAGAACCTTGCTTTAGCTGACATGCTCACATGAGATACAGAGAGAGAGTGAAGCCCCAAAAACTGAAACCCAATGGGGAATTTTCCTCAGAGTTTATAGGAAGAGGGCAAATTTGCAAATTTGTTTTGGTGATATGTGCTGGGAAAGCTTTCAGAGGTGGGATTTTAAAACCTCCACTCTCATGGAAATTAAGTCATAAAAACGGAAAAATAAAAGACGGAAAAGAATAAAGCTTTATTTTTGCTCCCTAATTTTTGCATGTTATTTTAAAGAAGAGTTTTTTGGGGAAGAGGCCCCTCCACCGGCTTTTGTGAAGTGCAAGCACGATTATGTCTCACATTAATTGGTTTTTAAGAAACAATAATAACATGCATCGCACACAGTATTTCAAAAAATAATGCTTCCGGGTTCGTTTTGTTGGATGTATTTCTGTTCATAAGCGTTTTGTTGAAATTAATTTTCAAGAAACGTGTTGAACTTATTATCAAATTTTAAGAGTGTTTTTAGGAAAAGTGCCTCAACTAGTTGGCATGCGCTTTTTCAAAGAACACTTTTGTGATTCGAGTTTTTAATATTTTTTTTGTTCAAATGTTGTTAGGAGAATCTCTGAACATTGAAAATATTTAGTCCTCTTGAAAGCAATCTCAAATAGACAAGTTCATTCAAGATGTGTCGTGGTCGAAAGAGTATATTTTTCAAAGATTACTTTTGCTAAATATGGGATTTAATTAAAAATCGTTTAATCATCTATGGATAGGATATGAATGGACGGTTTTTAACTTTTCTTATCTTGAAGTTTATCTAAAACATAAATTGTTACAACGTTCATATATGTACATTTTTTTTAACAGACGATATTATTTACATTAATAGAAAGAATAATGAGTTTAACTTCATAATAGACTAATAATAATATGATTTAAATTCACCTTTAACGATAATCGAATCTAAAATATCTCAATAAATAAAAAAAAATACTATTAAATTATAATACTAAATCACAACAAATATGTACACTTATACAGCTTAGTCGTAGTACAAGAATGACCTTTGACCGCAGCCAGGACGGACTACCTTTTGTCCTGACCATTGAATAGTGTTGCCAATTCATGGATCAGAATTCTCTCTCCTGAACTAAGGATGAAGATCCTCTTAAGTAAGTTCATCGAATCATTTAAATTTTATCTAACGGTTATAATTATTATAACTTTTAAAGAAGTCTCCTATTTGTAGTAGTTGGATAAAATTTAAACGATCCGATAGACTTGCTCACGAAGATTCTCACCCTTTAGGTGAGGAGAGGATCCTGATATTCAGGCTTTCTCTCTCTGTTTAGAATTTGAAAATCTGTACGAGTTGGTATTGTGGGAGCACTGGTAGGGATTTGATTCTGCAAAGAGTCGTTGGACAAGTGTTCTAGGTAAACTTCTTGAGCAAATCTCACTCACGCGCTAGTTTTGAGGACTTTTCATTTATTTTTATTTATTATTATTATTTTTTTTTGGTTTCTTGTTTCGGAATGCTTTTTGAGTGTAAACAGAATTCTCTTCTCTCTTATTCACATTTTCTTCTTTCCCTTCCTGTCACACTTTGTTATTTGTCTTACCGTCTCTTTAAAAAAATTAGGGTAAAGTACAAAAAACTACCTCAACTATTGGTGTCACGACACTTTCATACCTCATCTTTTAAAATTGACAATGTCATACTTCATTTTTAGAAGTTGGTCCAATGTTATACCTTCCATTACTTGGCCGTTTATTTTTCAGTTAAATACGGACGTGGCTTGATTCGAAACCCACTTCTATTAAAATATTATTAAAAACTAAAAAAAAAATTATTTAATATTTTTTTAAATAATAAAGAAAAGTAAAAAATAAAAATAAAAAATCCAACCCAACCCTCTCTCTCCCCATCTTCATCTTCTTCTCTTCTTAATCTTCAACCAAAAAAAAAATAAAAAAATTGAAAACCCATCAACACCCCCCCCCCACGGCGGGAAGAAGAAGAAGAGGAAGGAAAAAAAAAAAAACAAAAACCCAACCCAACCCAATTCGTCCCCCCTTCCCCCCTACCAACCCTAAATCCACCACTCTCATCCATTCTCCACATCCTCTTCCGCACCTATCCTCCACCTTCTCCGCGCACCCATCTTCCTGCTGACGGGATCTAGGTTTTTTTTTTTGTTTTCTGGGTTGCATGAGAGAGAAGAGGGGGGAATACAAACTAAGGGTGGGTGCGGGGAGAAGACAAATTGGATTTTTTTTTTTTTTTGGGGGGGGGGGGGGTTACAGGTGGGGAAAAGAAGATGAAGATGGGGAGAAGACAGAGGAGGGGGGAAGGAGGAGGGACGAACGAGGGTTGTATTTTTTTTTTTTTTTTTACTTTTACTTTTTTATTATTTTAATATTTTAAAAATATTAAATAATTTTTTTTAGTTTTTAATAATTTTTTAATAGAAAGTAGATCCCGAATTAAGCCACATCAGCATTTAACTGAAAAGTAAACAGCCCAGTAACGGAAGGTGTAACATTGGACCAAATTCTAAAAATGAGGTATGACATTGTCAATTTTAAAAGATGGAGTATGAAAGTGTCGTGACACCAATAGTTGAGGTAGTTTTTTGTGCTTTACCCAAAAAATTAATATAAGATGTTAAGGTGTCTTAATCATAACCGTTCAAGTAAAAGGTGATGGAATGAGAGAGAGATTAGGATGGGAGAGAATCATCCTCCTTTTAAGTATACCCAGAACACGAAGGGTAAGCCATATGTTATTATACAAGTGGAGGAAAGTTTTTTTTTTTCTTTTTTTCAAGTGTCCCTCCAATTGTACAATGATATGTGGTGTACCACCCTCGTATTCCGGACACACTGAAAAATATCTCCTTGTTTTGAAGCAATGTCTTGAAATGTGTTGTAGAGATGTTGAACACTCTTTTTTGGTGAATATATGAACAGTCTTTGTCATGTGATGTTTTAAGAACTATCATCAATGTGTAATAAAATATGTGATTAGTTGTCTCGCTTAATAAATTGTTGGTTGGGTAATGAAAGCGAAACAAGCAAAACAAATGAGTGAACATAGACGGAACCAGAAACACAAATGAATGGACATTGACATAAACAAAAATGGCTGATGTGTATAGTTAACCAACCACATCGACCCCAAATTCTCATTTGATTCCAAGTTCTTTGGTTAATTCTGCTACTATGAATCATACGAACGTTGAAAATAATAATAACACTCCTCATAATACAATGACGTATGATTTTGATGCAGAACGAATAAATTATTAAGTCGTAGTAAACAAACATGTGAATATGTGATGCAAGTTCAATACCACAAAGAATCGTCGTAATACACGTTTCAATTTGAGAGATTTATTATTTTATTTATTACTAGCCTCATGAGTTGCGAGAGTGCATCCCACGTGCTTGGCTGTGCGTGTGGGAATATGGATAGCTAAAGTTATGAGTAAGCTTTGTCAATTCTTACATTATAGTGACATATAAGGACGTGGTTTTCACGTGTCACGATTTGTTAAAAAGAAAACTAATAAAAAAATTTGAAAACTTTGAGTTTTAACGATGAAGAAAAAATAAAGAGTAAAATAAATAATACCAGAATTAATTTTTTAGTATAAAAATGTGATTTTTCGTTAAAATGAACAGTATCGGTGGCTTTTCATTAAAGTTTTCTTGGTTAAAACAGCCCAAAATTATCTGATCCTTTTGTTTGTTGCTCTTGTACTTATTGGATTCAGATTTTAAATATGTTTTCAATTTTTTTTTCTTATTCGAGCGATGGTTTATATTAAATTATAGAGAGAAGATTCTATGAGGATGTGAAAGTTAAAGAGTCTCATATCGAGTGAAAGAAAAATCTTGCAAGAGTTTATAAGAGGTTGGACTACTTCCCATATTACTAATTAGTTTTATAATGGAACCTTAACTTTCTTCATGGTATCGGACCAGGTTACCCTACGTGTGAAGCTCAAGGGTCACACGTGCCCCATGTCACCCAATTCGTATTGTCCATGTATTTGGTTTGAAAATTCATCACACGTGAGGGGACGTGTGAGGATGTGAACGTTATAGAGTCTACATCGATGAAAAGAAAAATTATGCAAAGACTTATAAGAAGTTGAACTACTCCTTATAATGCCAATTGATTTTTTGGTGAAACCTCAACTTTTCTTCAAATTCGAACATAAGTGTATTGATAAGAACAAACTACTCTAGCCAATTCTGATTTGTTTTATTTTCCTAACATTTTTATAACGGAGGGTTGAGGTGGAGTCAATTTATGAAGGATGGAAAGGGAAGTTGTTAATTAGGGCAAAATAGTAAAGTGCATGTGTTGGGAGTAGGAGTTGATTGAGGAGGGTGCATGGATATGTGGGGTTTACAAGATATTATACTTCAAATAAAGAAGGATAAGAGACAAGCAAGCCATAAAAGTATCGGAGAAAAAGCAACCTATGTACGATTATAACCATCCTTTTAATTTGTTGTTGGGATTAGCCTTTTGGTCTCCCTCTTTAATCCTACATGGAAAGTATACCAAGAGTATTTATCTTTTTGATATACAAGATATCGGGGGTGAGTACTTTGACTAAACCACACAAGGATTATTGGTAAACAATAATTTGGTATTGAAATCAGTATTCGTGGGCACACCAAAGTGGAGACTGAAGAATAATATAACTCGATTGTAATGCTAGCGGCACACCAAGAGTTAGGTGCTTCATAAAATTTTAAAAAAATTCTACTTATTTTACAGGATAAAAAATAACATAGATATTTAATAACGGTTTAAGTTACAAGTTACATTTTTTCTGCCTTTGTATCACATGTAATTTAAGTTGTGCAAATAGATATTTGAATATCAAAAATTTCAAAAGAACTTTTCTTTTTCCATAACGGAAAATTCTAAATGTAGATAATGAAAACAAGAAGTAATAAAACTTATAGTCCGAAGAATATAAATTAAGAAACATGTCGACATACCAACTAATTATTAGTTTAGTCATTCTTTCTTTCACAATATTAAAAAACGAAATCTCAAGTTTGAATCTTGTAGTAGATAGTATCATGCTAGGTCTATTTGTACCCAAAGCAAAAGCTAGCCCTAGTTGATACCCTAAACAACAAAAAGCCAAGGAGTAGTAGTACCAAATAAGAAGAGACTTACTTTAAGCCGTAGTCAAATGAGGCCCAACCAGCAACTGCTTCTTCCATCATCTTGATGTGCCATCATTTTTATGTTGGCCACCACTTTGAATTACATAACTATGTGACAAAACAATATTCCTAGCTTCTTTATCAAACAATACAATAACACTTTATCAAACAATAAAATTGCACATCATGAATTATTTTGGTGGTTAA